GGTGACCAAACAATGTTTATAAAGTGTTTTTATGGCATTACAGGCACTTCATAAATCAACTTATTTTTAACAAATGAGAGGAGGACCAGCCTTTTCTGTGTCTTTGCCCTGCTACGCTAAGTTACACAGTGGTGTGAAACTGGAGATGAGGCTTATGGAATCGAAGTAAGATGTTTCTGGACAGCATTCTGTGGAAAGTAATGCTGTAGAGCTGAGCCTGCAGCTTCTGAACGGCACTGCAGCTTCCCCAGTCACGCGCAGACCCGTTCTAGCAAAAGTCAAAGATAACTTTGAATTCTTCCTTCTTTTAAAGCTCCTGGGTAACCAAAGCTAACTTTGCCTGGAACAATGAGTTCAAGTCAGATAAATGCCGATATAGTGCATAATTACATATCTGCAACTTGCTCTTGAGCCTGGAGGCTTGTGAGATTAGCTGCTTCACTGGTTTGTGCTCCAGCCTTGGCCACTTGGCAGCGTGTTCTTTCCCTGCATCCCTGTAGAGGTGTCCGTGTGAGCAGCATTCAGGGAGATGGTGCAGCTGCCCAGCCGTGCTGTGTCCCTTTCCTCAGATTGTGCAGGGTATTTTTTTCTGGCAACCCTTTTACCAGAGTAGCTTGTATTTTGGTGCACCTGCAGGCCCCCTGAGCACAGGTAGACAACCTCCTGAAATATGTCAGTGGCACTGTCCCACTGAGGATTACAATATGCTTTCTAGGTGTTTTCTCTGTGTGTGGGACTATATTAAATATGGAGCGTGCTTCCCTTATGATTCTTTCCTTTATAAGCTACAGGTTTGCAGATTCATTTGTTCCAACAACTCATGAAAAGCTAAGGTGGAACAGACAATTTCTTAGAAAAGTGCATTATAAATTCGATCATGCTTTACAGTCAATTCCACGAGAATCCATATTTTCACTGGCCAATGATTTAAATTGAAATGAGACACCTCTATGTCTTTTGGAGGTCTGCAATTTTATCCTTTAATTGCCACTGTAATAAAGAGGTGGGTTTTTAAGCCTGCCTGTCGCTGTGATAACCTCATCTTCTCCTGGCCCCCTACAAGCCCAGCTTTTATCTCTAAAGCACCAAGTTCTTTGAAAGAGTTTTCATTTGTTCTCAGCTAGATAAGCAGTATCCTTGTAATATCCACTTGCCACACTGTCTTCACTGACGCATAGGGCCTGTGCGGCTAAGTCTTTATCAGATTAGCGCTTATCAGAGTGCACAAATGCAACCTGGACACTTGTATCTCCAGGGTTACATTAAAGACTAGTCTGCCCCATATGCTAACACAGGCTCCATTCAGCAAAGTGTTTAAACACATGCTTAAGCAAGTGTATAGTCCAGTTCAGTGGTAATACGATTAGTCTTTTCCTTTGTTAAGAATATGCTTAGATATTTCCTCAGATTAGAACTTGAGGTTGGCTGATTTACCTTATAAGTATATATCTTATAGGATGCATACATAGAATGTAGTTGTCAAGATGGAAATAGGTTCTGATGTTGCATAGCTCAATGCACCTATTGCAGGTGGTAATATTGGAAAAGGAAGCACCAGTTTCCCAGTAGTACACCAAGTTTTGAAACATGAAAAATATGGGCAGAGGAAAATGTGCTGAAGAAAGTGCTATTGTGCAGATGCACTGCATTGTAAACTCTAACTCGGATTTCATGCGAGAAGATGACTTACAGATAATTGAAATATGGTTTTCCCAGTGGATTCTTTTTCCTTAGTGTGAGTTCAAATCACGTGCACTTATAGCATATTTCAATCATCCATAGAATAGAAATCCAGCTATGACACCAGTGCTCTCTGCTAACAGTTAGTAATCAAAGAGTAAATGTAGTGGAAGGAATACTGGGTCACCTGTCCTCCTGCCCTCCAGCCTCAACTGCTCAGTATTGCTGTAGTTGCTGGTGTAACTGGGATTGACAGCTAACCAATGACTGTGGAGTTGTTACCAAGTGTGTTCTTGCAGAGGTACAGATGTTCAGCCCCAGGAGGGAAGAGCTTTGCTTCAGGAGTTTTCCAGTTTGTATTTGTGTTTGCTTTGGGGAAGAGGAGTCGAAGAGCTAGAAGCCCTGGAACACTGGCAGTGGTTGTAGGTCATGACCTGTGACAGTGAGTCAAAAACTTGCCTTGGTGATTTCTGCCAGATGGCTTAGGGCTTTGCTTCCCCAGAGACCCAGCTGCTTGCAAGAGAGAAAACCAGGACTTTGGGGAAAGAGGGGTGAGAATATGTTTGGGTTTTTTTCCCAGAAAAAAATTCCTGGATTAACAGGTATCACTTGTGGCATAGAGATGCATTTGAGGTGCATGGAAATACCAGTACCACTTACGACTTTCATACTCACCCTACTGAAAGTGTCAAAAAAATAAAGCTGTTTGTATACTTGTATCCTTCTAAAGTGGGCAGAAAATACTTCCAGATATGCAAGAAAAGCACCAATCACAACAAGATGCTGAAAATTTAAGGGACGTGAATATCCCTGCCTGCCTTCCTTCAGTGCAGCCAGTTCTGTCTCTACCAGTGAGTGGCTAGCATCTGATTGCTTTGGTCACCTGAACTGTAGATAAGGAAAAATTGGGACCAAGACATTTGATATGTTCTTGAAGAAGCAGCTTTCTGGTTTACTCAAAGTTTTTGTTAACTTTCCATTCACTAGTTCTGTGAATCCACTCTGTGGTAGGTGTGAGCCTGTCACAGCTTCCTGTTGGGAATCTGTGCTTTTTCTACCCTCAGATGTGTGGTTGATTTTTGAACTGCAGAGATCCTTGGGCCCATCTCCAGTGTGGCAGCCAGGATAACAGCCATTATACATCGTAAATGCTGAGTTTCGATACATATACTTTTTGTAAATGATTAATAGCTGCCTTAGTAAATGATTGTTAATCCTAGTGTGTGTAGTCCCTGACCTGTAATATGTTTATAATGTCTGTGAATAGTTTATTGCTTCCATATAAACTGCTTATAAATGGAAACTTAGTACAATGTGTGACTAAGCATGGGGACAGAAGTAGAGGACAGGACATCTTGGCCTCTGTTACTGGGATCCACTGGATTCTCATGATGCAGCAGGGATGTGAGACCCTGTGTAACTCTGAGAGCAGAGGCAGGAAGTTGTCTCCTTTTGCATGTGTGCTGTTCAGTGTACGTTAGCTGGAATTTGTCAGAGCCCTTTGGTCTTGTAATGTCTATGGAATTTATCTTGAGGATACAGATAAGAAGGTATTGTGATGACTGGCTGCTGGAAGAAAGTGGGCAATACTGCCTAAAAAAAATACTACCAGTTTCAGTGCTAGAAGGCACTGGATGGCTCTTGGAGGAGATGTGTTGTATTCCCAGTGCTGAGCTGGGTGGTGCTGGAAGAGTTGGTGCCTTCCTTTCTCAGCGCCTTTCCTTCTCCAGCTGCTTTGTTTGATATATCTGTCTATGTCACAAATGGTTTGGGGCTGGGTCTGAACCTCATACTCCATCCTTCAGGGACTACGCACATGTATATAAGCTGCAATATACCAAAATATGAGTAATAGAAATCACAAATATAGTTCAGTATAATGATGCTAAACAGGTTTTCCTTTATTTTCTCTTTCATCTAACAATGCAGTGGAGCCTAAGAAGGAGAGAAGGGGTATGAGCAGTTCTGTTCAGCTTTTGCAGTGCAGTTTATTTAGCACCTCTGCAGGATTTAACGTGGTAACTCTTCAAAACTTGGCACACTAATCAAAGGTAGAATGTGATACATGTGTCTGGTAAACAGATGTTCCAGCCTTCCCAAACTGCTGTGAAAGTGTGCATCATTCTCAATAAATATGGAAGTAGCTGTGGCTTTGGAAGCTTTAGTTTCCTGGATGCTTTGGACCTCTATTCCACTTTTGCAGTTGTGGCTGTGGTGACCTAAAGATACAACTAAAGCATAGTTTACTCTAATAGACAATACCTTTTATTAAACCAACCGATAACATCAGAAAAATCAATTTGCGTTCAAGCAGCTCCTCCTTCTATTTATTAATACTTCAACTATTACACCTAGCCAAAGACTGGACATAATGCAGAAGGAATCTTCTCTGTTGTAGGCTTCTGACAGTTAAGTGCATCTTGTGGCTTTTTCATACTAGTTTATCTCCTGTAAGAAATAAGGCTAGAAGTCCTCTTAGGAGGGTTTCATTAAAGTGTTGGTGATACGAAAACACAGAAACTTGCAGTAAAATTGGTATTTAATGCATTGTCAAAACTGTCTGAAATTAGGTTAGTGAAAATGAATCCATAGAAATTGCAATCTTGTTCTCCTTTTTGGAAGGAAACCACTAGTGGCCCACTAGTGGTGTGATAGATCAGGAACGTTTACTGTCAGGATTCTCTTTGTACTGGTAGTGAAAAGGTGCTGCATGCTTTAATACTGGTGATAGACATCTCATTGCTGCAAGATCACCAGAAAATACCTAGAAGGAAGAGCTGCAAGGCTCAACGACAGAGTAATTCAGCAAGCTCAGCAGAGGAAGGGGTTTTGTTTAGAGTATTCACTGTCTGGCTTTTAACTTGACTCACTTTAGGCAGCTGGTGTTCAGAAGAGCTCTCCAGGTGCTGGATGGCCAAAATGAGCCCCTGTCCTTGACTGATTATTTTTTTAAAGTAAAACTTGAAATGGGCATTCTGCCCAACACCGTGCCTGAAGGGTGCAAACCCCAAACAGAACTTGTGAGTCTGCGATGAGGTCTGAATGAAGAATCAGAGGGAGGAAAGCAGTGCCGTACTGGATGAGTCTCATGGCCTGTCCTCTGCTGTAGCACACCAGCCCAGTGGGGGAGCTCAGTGGGGATTTCCAGCAGGAGTAAAACTCCTACTTTTTGGAGGTGTAATTCAGACTTTCTCATTATCTGATCTCTGGGTTGGTTCATTCTTTTTCCGTGTAGCTGGCTATCTATCACATTTGACAGAGAGATTGCTATGACAAAATGCTAAAAGCTCTTGCTCTGGGCTATTTTTAATCCACTGCAGGTGAAAGATCAGAACACATTTTTGCAAGATTTATGGGCCAGTGTTGTGCTGGGCACCATAAATGGGAGTTGACAAACTACAGGACACGAGGTTTAAGCCATTGACCTCTGACATTAGGAGTCATCACAACTGTATGTTATCACATTTGTGTTCAGGAGTTAAAGGCTTTTGCTCTGAGGGAGTCTTGTAAATGCTTAGCAGAGGTACAGAAATGCAGTTGTTACTCAGTCTTTAAGCTTTATTGTTGGTGATGAGTAGTTAAATCTCTCAGGCCACTGTGGATTTTAGTGCAGAATATTTGTAAGTCATCATTAAGTCTTTGGGTTGTTTGTGCAGAATAACACATCTGGTTTTCTTGAGGAGGGTGTCGCTGCTCAGTGACAGTTCAGCTTGAGCAGACTCAGCACTTTTTGCTGCTCCTTTAATAGTCTAGTATTCCAAGCTACTTCCCAACTCCAGAATCTCTGTTAACTGGGTCCATTTGTGAAACAAAAGCCCTGCTAAAGCAAAAAGGCTTTGGGATGCATGGGACGCTGTTCTCAAATCAAGTATGTACTTCAGTGTTCTGAACTCAACCCCAAAATCCTGCAGTGCATCGTAATGCGATAGTGGGGGGAGGATGGGTGCGTGCAGCTGCGCCTCTGCCTCTGACACAAGCATCTAAAACACTAGCAGGCCATTTTAGAAAGCAGGGAAGAGAGGAATGAAGAGCGGGTGAAGCTGACAGAGCAGAAGGTGAGTTGGAAGTGATGACTGAAGGGAAGGCCTGAGCTTACTGCAAGTCGAGGCACTGCTCTTGACAATCACCAGGCTGAGACCTGTCCCGTGTAGAGGATCACAACATCCCATTGTCTTTATTGCTGTCTGGAAATTCTTCAGGCTTGTAGCTGACCAGCTGACCCTGCAGGTTCAGGGGTAGGCTCTGTGCAGTGTTGAGTTCATCATGCAATGCAAGCTTCCCAAATTATATGTCATTCTGAGGGGCACAGAACCAATTAGCATATGGATTTGTTCTGCATGTGCAAATCTTTTCTTGGGCTAAGGAAGTGTCATTCAGAGACTTGGCTGAAGAAAAGAAGAAAACAGTTTAATCTTATATTGTAATTGTCATCCTCTGACTAATGATAAGCAATATTATGGCCTGCATATCGGCTGTAATTAAGCAGTGAGACACAACAAGGTGTATGTTACAGAGAGATAACACAGTGCTTAAGAGCCAGTGACCTGCAAAGCACATTATCTCCCAGCTGCACAAGCCCTACATAGTCAGTTTGTACACGTTGTGGTGGCAAATCCACCAGCCCCTCTTCCCCACCTTTATTCTGCTTTTCAAGGTGCAGAAACTGTGAAGAATTCTTGTGTTACTGGTTGTGTTGTGTGATGTTTAAAAAAGCTCCCTTTTTATATCAGTCAATTTCTGCACATGTAATAAGCCAGTATGAAGCATTCCAAGTTCTCATTCAGTGGAGCTCTGGGAAATTAGCATCACTTAAAATGAGCCCCTTCAGTGTTTTGTTAGACAAGTAGGTATGGAGCATGCAGGGAAGGATCCAAGCACCACTGACAGCAACTCTTTGTTTGCTCCGGGAAAGGTTTTGTGTTGTTTTCAAAGATAGCAGAGGGAGCTTTTTGCTGGAACACAGTGTTAGATGGGACTTGTTTCAAAGTAAAATTGATTTTTAGTTAGAATTAAAGATTGGAAGCATGAAGCTCGTACTGTTTGTACTAAACATGAAAGCCTTTCTTATCAGAGTACCACTGCACATGTAGGTGCCTACATAGGCTGACCAAGCTGATGCTGCACAAGTGACTTGAGTCTTTGAACAATCAGATAAATGTCTTGAGGCTTATTCCTTATCTTACCCCTAATGAAACTTTGCAGGGTCAATAACTTGGTTAATGTTGATCAAATTTTCAGTTTAAGTTCAGTCATGGATGTGGATCTACAACCTCTTGATATTGGGCAGCTACATATGCTTGTAAAATTAATACAAAACACAGTAGATCAAAGTGCTTCATTTTGTTCCTATGTCACAGTCTCTTACACTTCCTTATTCATGTTGTTTCTCCCCCCCCCCCCCCCCCATACAAATTGAATTCCAGATAGCAAATTAGAATGTCACTGTCATCTGTAAGCAAACTACTGACAATTTAGCCTAGGCAGAGGGAGAAAAGCAGCAGTGAGCTGAGGTAAGAAGTGTCTTATCTAATGTCTGTTAGCCAATAATTGCCAGAACAGACTATGTATTTTCTGATTTCCCAATTTTATGGTAATGTTCCTCTTTGAAACAGGTGGATACTTCTTTAGCCAAATGCAGGATTTCAGCAGTGCAGAAGGACAGTCCTCTCATAGCCTGGTCAGAAGCAGAGATGGGTTACTGGGGTTTGAATAGCACTTAGCCTCTCTGGACACTGGTGTCAGTTGGATGTCCTAGATATTGCTGTATTAAAAGCATAAAGTTAGGCTTAGTGCAAGAACAGAGAGACAAGGCAGAGGCAACAGAGACAGATGTCTCTTCCTCAGAGCCCTTCTACTGGGTGAGACTGTTTCTGATGACAGCTGTAGCCCTGTAAATGCCTGCTAGATGTCTGGTGATAATCCATTCAAAGCAATTACAAGGCATCCGTCACCAGCAGGGTCTGAGCCACAGGCTTCTTATCTGGGAAAATTGATGGAAGAGAAGAGGGGAGTGAGGGAAGAAATCAATGCCTTTCACCAATGTTATCTGCCAAATTGAATTAAGCAGCATGGGATCCCTGCTTTACACAGTGCAAGAGCTGGAGCTTGAAGAGTCTGTTTGTAGTTAAGCTCAGTTCATGGGCAAGGCAGGTAGGAGCTGAGGGTTCGTTCTCCTCACTGGCAATTTCTTGGGCACCTACTAATGTCAGTGGAACTTGTGTGTGCAAAAGGAGTTCAGAACTTAGCAGCACCCAGAGCCTTTAACCTGGTAGCACCACTTGTGACTTTTGTGTCTGCTCATGGTCTTAATGTATCTTTTCATGTTCTTCTACTTTTTTTTCTGGGTGTAGCCAAGAGTATCTCATTGCTCGCCACATCCCAGTTTATACAGGCAAGGGCTGTAGAGAAAGCAGCAGCAAAGATAACGCTAATGGGTTCCCCGGAGGCAGTGCTAGTGAAACTAGTGTTTAGAAGTGGTGCACGTGCTGAGTCTGTTGGCAGCGCAGCCGTGCTGCGCAAGCATGTGACCCAGTACTGAGATGTACTTGAGAGTTCATGGCTCTTGAGGTCAGGAGGTTTTGGGTGGGGGTTTTAATATGCAAGGAAATACAGCTTATTGCTGTGGGGTTTGGTGGTTTGCTTCCCTGAGTGTATCTGCTTCTCATTGCACTTGCCTTATGGGTTGGAAGGATAAATTTCAGTTCTGTATGTCTAACTGCGTACTCATTTTGCCAAGCACTGTTGAAATCCAGGAGTGAGGTTCAGGAGAGTTTAACAGAGTTACCAGCTGCAAAGCGACACTTTCCCTTCCTGGGTTGGCAATTGACATTTCAAAGGCCACCAGTATATTTATGGAGCTGTTCAGTAGGTGCTTCCTGCATGGTATATAAGCAAATATGACTGTAGATCCATTTAGACAACAGCAGGGAGATTGTCACTTAGGATGCTACAAAACAGAATCTATTTGTACTGATCAAACCAGTTTTGTCTGTGGGCTGTGTGGCCAACAGCTTGTTAGTGCTTGGTATAGTACCTGTTTTTAGACCTTTGCCTCATGAAGTAGGGGTTTAATGCCGTTTTTTTTGACAAATAGCCAGCAAAGGAGTTCCTGCAGCTCCAGAGCATCTGCTGTTACTGGGTTTGGAATGGAGTCCTGTTGACAGCCCATGTGCCTGCTCTTGGTTTGTAAACTCAACATCATGGGTTTATGATTTTCTTCACAAAAGCATAGTGATAACTCAAACATAAAGTCTTTATAATATTTACAGAAATGAGCAGATTTTGGAACAAATCTGACCTCCTTTCAAGGCAGTAAAACCTTGGTTTCTTTTTGCCCATGTAGGTTCCCTCTTGTGTTGCAGGGTTTTTCTCCTGCAGTTGATGCGTACGTGCGATGAGAGAGTTGTCATCTGGGGAGAGTGCTGGGGGCTGGAGGACCAGGACAGCTTAGGCAGAAGAGGCTCTGGGGACCTAAAAGCATAAAATCCTCAAGGTTCTGGATTGGAGCTGACTCGGCAGATGCAAAAGTAAGTTGAAGCAGATGAGCCAGACAACTTGTGGGTACCAGACAGAACAGTTCACCTAAACCAGGCCAGTGCAGAGATCTGTGGAAACCTTCCGCCTCCCAAGTAAGTGTGTGTGGGAATCTGCATTGCAGTCAGGTGAGCTTAAAGTGCACATAAGCCATCTAATAAAAATTCCCCCAGAGTATATGTCACACAGCTGTGTTTCATTGTATTTGTGCTCTCTTCCTACTGACAGCGCCTTTGGAGCCACATTACTCACATCTCATCATCAGCTCTGACATTCCTGGCTTTTTACTGCTTCCCTGGTTCCTATCATCTTCTGCAAGCTTTATACCTTCCTTGCACACTGGCCAAGGTGTATTTCTGTAGTATCTTTTCAACAAATGAACATGGGAGCATGTAAAAAGCAGTTTGGATACCACGGCAGTAACAAGGGCTTTCCCCTTTTCTACTGAAAATCCCTACCAAGCCTCTACTCCATTGTTTTTATGGGTTCAGTTTTCCGTTTGCTCCATCTGTTTGGTATAAAGGGTGCTGCTTGCACTAAAATGGGAAGGACTGAGGTGCAGTGCTGAACTAGTGTTTAATCCTCTTTCAGAGCATTTTTGTTTACAGTGCATAGACCATGTTCAGAATGAGCAGCTCCAAGAGTATGTACATGGGCTTGGTTGGGGGTTTTTTTGTTTCCCTTTTTTCCGTGGTGGCTGTTGAATGAGCCATGAAGATGTTTTACCTCAGGCCTCAGGAAATTTGACTTTGGTTTCTATGTCCAGCAGCTGGTTTGAGCATGGGGCACTTCAGCTCATTTGGCTGCTGATCTCCCCCTCCTTCCCCCCTTTGTTCCTGTTGAATGAAAGTTCATCAGGGCAGGGCCTGTAGCTTGCTAAGGACTTGTTGGGAACTGAGCACAGAGGGGCTGGGGCCCCTGTTAGACTTCTAAACTATTTCCACTTTGTGAAATGAAGTTGAACTCAAGGGGTACTTCAGCACGCCACAGTCTGCAAGGCAGGTTTCTGTGTGCACTGCCAGCATTAGGTGAACTCTGAGTATCAACTGGTCTCAAAGGAGTTTTGTAGTGCTCGGGATGAACAGATCCCTGGATTGTAGGTTGGGGACTGGGCAGCAGTTTACTGAGCCGTGCTCCTTACCTGTGGCTCACTGCAGTGATGGGCAGTGCCTGAACTGCAGCTGCATCGGTGGAGGCACGTTGCCAAAAGAAGGGCTACACAAATCCAGGTGAGGTGAGGAATAATGGAGTAAAAGAAAAGCTTTCTACGAGTAACCATGAGTGGTGTGGACACCTCCCTTTCTTGCTGCCCAGTAAGAAACTCTCTGGCAGGTACCACTTAATGCCTTTGCCTCTTCCCAGTATGTCCCCAACTGCCTGTTCACTCACAAACCACTTCTGAACACCTCATTTCCACTGTGAGATGAAACTGGCACCCTTGATACACAGCTGCAGCTGGCAAAGGAGAAGCTCTGGGGGTTTTGTGTGATTTTTGGTTTTATACATAAGCCACTGGGGAAAAAACTAAGATAGTAATGGTGTGGGTCTCTTCAAATTTTGCAAGCACTAACCCAGAGCTCTGTGGGATCTCTTACAGTCACCTCGGGTGTACAGCTCCCATTGGACAGTCTTGTGCTCAGGACAGTGGAGGAGGCAAATGAAGTACACGTTTTCTTGCTTTGTGTGTTTGTGCTTGTAATCTAGATCAGTTAAATGAAAGCTCCTAGCATAGAGTAGCCAGATAAATTTGGGATAGCTGAAAAGGGATAGTCCAAGCATAGGGATGGAGTCCAATAGGACTGGATAGCTGGATTTTCAGGCATTGGAGATTTCCATATGCAAGGCCAAGCCTTAATTCCAAGTTAGCCTCAGCTAACATCAGAAGGGGACTAAACCAAACAAGGTTTACTCCTAAGCTCTTGCAAACTCTGGCAGTGCAGCTTTGCTGCAGTTGGTCCCTGGTGAAGAGCACTCATTCAGAATGCACAAAACTGAACACATCCTGGGCAGTTCTGGCAAGAGCAGGAGGGGCATTGCTCCGACTGCCCCTCACAAAGCAGGCTGCAGTGAGTCACAAAGAGGAAGCAGAGATATTTTTGTCTAAGCTGTTTGATCATTCCCTGGCTTTTCCGATGTTTTACAAGGGCATGTTAAGAAATGTACCAGAGCTGTGGAAATTCTGCAGCCATTTCTCAGAAAACCATGAGAGAATGACTTTAACATGTTTCCATCTCCTGCTTTTTTGCATTTTTCCCCTCTTGTATTTCTTTTTCTTTGACCCAGTACGAACTTTTATATGCTTACAGCTCTCTGCATTCAACAGACAGTTCACTGCAGTGCTGGACTTCCCCCATGAAGCAGTACACATCGCTTCCAATGGAATTCCATTCTCCTTTACCATATCATCATGTGCAGACCTGAAAATGGCTCTGTTTAAATGATGCCTTCAAGAGGATTATACCAGGCTGTGTGGGGAATAGCATGAACGAGGTGCTGTCTTGACTCAGCTGCAGGTGGTTGGTGCACCTTGGCCCATTGAAGGTGGTAAGGTGATTGATTTATTTTTTTTTTTGGGGGGGGGGGGGGGGGGGGTTAGGTATGCCAGAAAAGCTAAAGCACAGCAGGAAAGCTGAGCATCCCTCCAACATCTGCAATTGCAGTGCTCTTTCCACCTACAGACAAAATGGGGTTTGGTGGTGGGTGTATGTGAGGGTGTGTAGATGTGTCTATCAGAGGATGACTATGTGGATGAGTTCCATTGGCCTGCAAGCTACAATGGGTTAGACAATTTATAAGCCTTGTCTTATATGACTTGGCTGCACATGCACTAAATCCCCATCTAGTAGAATTAAAATGCAGTAACATTTCTGTCACCATCCCTCTGTGGTGGCACACATCATGTGAGGCACTAGTGAAGGTTGTGCCTGCAAGTGTCCAAGCCAGGGACATCACTCATCTCTCCCCAGGAGGCAACGTCCCCCATCTCACACCTTCCCTTGGGGAGCTTGGCCTGGGCCTCCTTCCCAGCACTGAGGTATGGCCAGGGCTTTACCAGCACGTGGTCACCTCCACTGGTGCTTTGCAGACCTCTCCATGCACAACACGCACAAGGCCAGTGGCAGTAACCATCGGGTACACCCGTGCGGGTATCTAGTTCCTGTCTGTGCAGGGGGTTTAACTTCAAATGACAAAGCACTGGCCATTCGAGCAGGTACCTCACCTGCTGTGGGACACGGGGACGCGCTCACCCGAACACTTAGCTCCAGCACAGCCAGGCCAAAAACCAAAGCACTGCTACTGATTCTTTTCTGGACAAACAATTTTATTTTAGGTAATGCGTCTATACACTGTACATTCAGTCACTGTGGTATATAAGCATAGCTATTTTCATACATAATCTCATAAAGTCCTTTATTTTACAATATTATCTGCTTCGAGGGGAGGGGATGTGGAAAAGGGGGTGGAAAAGGACTATCAAGGTACACAGCGAAATAGATAAATATGCCAAGCTTTTTTCTTATTTTTTTTAAATCAGGCATTTATAAACAAGAAAGCATACATTACTTACATAAAAATAGTTCTAGAATAGTAGAGTAAGTCATAATATTGTCATTAGCAGCAGCATAGGAGAGACCAGGATAACAAAAATGTGCTGAAATGCTATTGGCTATTATAAATGTAAAGATTCATTTTTCTTCAGTTGAAAAAATGTCATTTCTGTGAGTTCTTTTGATTAAAAAAAAACCCAACCCAAAACAAAACAACCAAACCAACAAAAAAACCTCTCTAAAACACGTGGACTGATGGGGGCAGAGGGGAAAGGAACCAATCTTTTGGTAATAAAATACTTTACAGTGAAAACGAGGACAAAGGAAATGCCAATGGTGGAGGAAGGCGAACCCACAGCGGCAGCTTCCAAAAAGGGTTTGTTGTGTTGTTCCTCACAGACAGCAAAGGTTCTTCTCAGTTAAAAACACAACTCGTAAAACAAGACAGCTACCAGGTAAGAAAGAGTTTTGAAAAAGTAAACACCATATACACTTATAATACAACAGTGTAAAATGAAAACAAGTATTTACAGGTTGACTTGACTTTTAACTGTTTCTTTTTTACATTGGCTAGTTCTGTTTGAAAAGCAGAATATTATGTATACGAGTTAGCTGCTCCATAGATATGAATGTTATTGCTGTTGGTTTTTTTTTCCCTTCGTTAAGTCTTCTTTCAGTAATAGAAACAATGAGTAATTAAACTGAATATACAAGTATTAAGTAATATTTTTTTAAGCAGAGGGAGAGTCAACAGCCTGTAGGAAACACCTCTTCTCCCTGTTAACTTCTTAAAGGAAACTAACGAGCAGATGAAAGGCGAAGCTGGGACTTTACAGTTCCGGCCCTCCGGGGCTGGAGTGCACATGGAATGTGGCGGGACCCAGAGTGAGCCCAAGGACAAGCCCAGCCCTTCCCCGCCAGCGGGTGCTCCCTGAAATTACACACACAACTCCCCACCTCCAGCCTGCCCAAGGGGGGGTTGCTGAAGATTCCCACCATCTGACAGCCCGCTTCTGGAAGTTAGTGTCTCTGGGGCTGTCTGCTGAGGATGTGGAAATGAATGGCACGCTCAGGAATTCTGAATTGGAAATCAATTCCGTGTTCAGCAGAAATAAATGGTAAAATGTACTTCAGAAAGACAAAATTCCTGAGGATGGAATTCCTGTCCTTCATGCCTCTCCTGCCAACTAGCTGCTGGTGTGGAACACTTGTTCCCAGTCTTCCTGCACCTTATTTAGGCTTTTGGATTTTAAACCTGAATTTATGCAAGTGTTTTTTATAGAACATTCTCACTCCCAAGGATCAAATGCTATTGAGCATGAACCTCAACCATGGTAAAGTTCATCTGTCAGATCATGGAACTGCTATAATGCTTGGCAAAAGGGCACAACAGGTTTGTAACAATGGTTGTAACTTTAATTTGTAGGCTTCTTTCTTGCCAATCTTAATCATAGACTCATAGAACGGTTTGGGTTGAAAGGACCTTAAAGCTTATCCAGTTCCAAAACCCTGCCACGGGCAGGGACACCTTCCACTGGAGCAGCTTGCTCCAAGTCCCATCCAACCTGGCCTTGAACACTGCCCGGCCCATCTCATGTGAAGCACAGGTGCTGGTGGCTGTTAGGACCATTTACTACTGGACAGATCAGCCCATGCGCTGCTCTGGGTTAAAAATGCAGAATTCATTCATTTAGGAGCTAAAAGCATCATCTGCAGAGCAGACGTTGTGCCAGTGACCGCGTCTGCTTCCTGTGCACTCAGAAAGAGCCACCGTGTCCTGGGCAGCGGGCGAGTGCGCCACTTCCCGGGAAGAGGTGGCTGGAGGCAGGCACGGTGCCAGCTCTTGTTGGGTCACAAGGGGAGAGCAGGTGAAAACCCCAAAGGAACCAAGTGTAAACCGTGAGGGGTCAAAGGTGCTGGGGGGATGTACGTGTCCTCGGTGTAATTTCATACTGTGGCAGTGAAGCAGAGGAGGTGAGTGCTGATCCAGCATCAACTAGAGCTAAAGTTACTCTGTTTCCCTTGAACAAATAAGTGAATAATACAGAGCTGGAAATCATAAGGCTGAGAACATTTTTATGCATACTGCATAACAAAATAAACCCTTTACATAAGACAGTAATAATGCCCATTAATGAATATACTTATGGCAGAGATTTTAATTCCATGCATATGATTTAATATCGCAGAAAAAAACATACAAAGAAAAAAACCAAAACCAACAAAACACATTAAAAAAAAAAAACCTGCTTAAGCATAATCAAAATTCCTTTTGCATTGCACTTTAGAGGAGGAGACCTGCACTAGCCTCAGTCTCCGGCATCCCAAACGCACGAGGGCAGAACCCTGGATCAGCGGACAGTTTCCCGTCATTTACTTGGTGGAACTGTTTCTTGCTCCCAACAGTTTTACATTGTCCCAGTAATTCTACTCCTTTCATATTTCTTCTTTTTTTTTTTTGTACCTAAAACATATATATGAACTTCTTTGTTAATGCTCACAGTTATTATAATGGTTATTATATAATGGTTTCAAGCAAACAGCTCTTGTTTAGGAAAAAAAAAAATCTCTCTAATGTACTGTAAGTAAATAGGATAATTTCA